GCTTACCAGAGGTTGGCAGTGTATGGCATGACACACTAGTGTCCACTGTAGTGGCTGATGTGCAGCTAGACGATCAGAACCTCTGCCCATTCAAGGAAATGGCTTTTGAATAGCTGTCCACTGTAGTGACCACTATGCGTGAAAGGGTTAAATCAGTTTTATTTGTCTAAGGGTGTTTTTTAAAAGCTTTTAACCTAAAAACATGAAACCAAATAAAAGGAGCACGGTCACTTCAGGGTCAAATGTCACCCCCTCGCCCTTAGTGGTCATTCCATACTAGAATGACCACTGCATCTATAGAACAGCAACATGTTCAGCTTTCCATCTCTCTTCTCATTAGGCATTTCAGAAAGGCATGCTGGGTGTCACTCCTACGAGCACGCTTTCTACAGGAAAGACACCTGCCCTCCAAATTCCACATTTATCTCTCGTTGCGATTCTCAGCGGCTGTCATACCCAGAGTTCACGGTGGCTACACAGTCACAGTAAACTGAGCTAACACACACCATGAGGGGAACCGTCAGAGCCTATTCTAAAAAACAATATTTTATTTCATTTTCAGGGCTGCTGTGCCAGCCTTTATTGTCCTGGCAGTTGCTGCCACTGTTACCTTAATTTGGGAAAATATGCACGTCACTAATGTTGTTAGGGTTAGTGTGGTAGGAGGAGCAGCTGTCATGTCCCATATTCTGCTGAAGTGCACACAGCTTGTGTGACAATGAGATTTGTATTTTACTTAATAGATGAGCTGCTTGTTGCATTGGCTGGACTAAGTTTTATTTTCTCCAGTAGTACCTACCTTTGGTGTGAATATAATAAAATATATGGTTATTTATGGTTTTCTCCTCACTCAAGGAAAAATATTTGTAGCTCTGGGGATGGTCACGATAACCCCCCCCCCCCCTGATAAATAACGAACAGTCCCTTATACAACCCTGCCTGTGTTGTAAAATGATAAATAAATCTACCTTACCTTGTACTTTGGACCATGTACATGTAGCTGCGCTGGCTCACTGTCAGGGCTGACTTGGACTCATGAACCGAACAGAGCCATCGTTGATGTCATTAGGAACACTGTGCTTCTCCTACTATCACAAATCAAAATGGCTGCTGGCCTAGGTCTGTAATACATTGTGAGATGTCCTGGTGTACTGTAAAAATAAGTAATAATGAACTTGGAAGTTAAAGGATCCTCACCCCTGCAGGTTGAAAGGTGGCTCTGAAAAGTTAGCTTGTAGCTTGCTGCTTTGCAGAGGAAGGCAGCTGTGTCATCTTGGATTCAGTACAACATATTCCAGAGGTAATTCATTTTCAAAACATTCCTCTTGGCACCTGACGAGTGTAACTCCAAAGCTAAAGCTCTGTTTTGGTCTCCACAAACTCTTGAGAAAAATATCTGGCTCTTAACTGCTAAATGCTAGGTTATGTTCACCAGCTAGTCTAGTCTCGGCAATAAGCTAAAAGGCTCTGGGCAGAACTGAGGAGAACAGCTGGGTGAGAATTCTTTCCGTTCATCACAGTCATAAATATGAATTATTATTAAGTCCATGCAGATACGTTCTGTTTTCATGCAGTTTGTCAGATCACACAAACTGTTGTACGTTTGTTATGTGTTCACTCAGCACGGTGCTTCACCTGTTAGAAAAGAAATAAAAGAGACAAAACTGCAGATAGACTTTGAATCTCTGCCAGAGAATGTATGGTGTCAGATCAATGAATGACAGTTGTTCAGCTCTGACGTGTCTGTGGCTTTTTGTTTCTGCTTATTCAGTGAGCGTGTGTTTGTGTGTGGGTGTGTGTGTCAGAGAGAGTTAATATGTTTACACCAGAAGAAATCTAACCTTCTTTACAGATAGTAGAAACATCATGGTTGTTTTTGGCTTGAGTTTGAGTGTTTATCTACAAGAGATCACAGACAGTCTCTCTTATCATGACATATTTAGCTATTGATTGAAAAAAAATCAATTTAAAGTCACACGAAGCAGTCAGACAATAAGAAACAAACATCAGCAGGATGGCCTCTCATGTCTTGCCTCACCTCTTGTGGTGTTCTCCACAGAATGCATGAATATGTAAGAGATACTTTCATTCGACTGTTGGTATTAATGGTGTGGTCAAGTACATTTTATTCAAACATACTAATTCGGGCTAAATTCACAAATTAGCCTCAAAGAGCTAAGAAGTTTGTACAACAAACCCCTGTCCTTAGACCCACAGTCTGTCAAAGGACAGAGGAGAGACAGACATGCACCAAATGTGAATACAGACAGAAATAAAAATAATGAAATTACATCAAGAAACAGAATGACAATCGACTGTATGATTTCTCAAAACACTTATTTTACTTTTCCAAATACAATTCTCAAATTGTCATTTATTTGTTGCATTTACTTTATTTTAAAATTGTGTTGAATGGTAATGAAATGAACCTGAGATATCTGTTTGATTTAAACATCTGGAGCTTAATGTAAAGCGAGAGAGTAAAAGAGAAACTGTCCTTAAAGATGTGGCCTTGAACTGCGTAATTGGCAGTGGTATTTGTGTGGTGTTTTCCTGTTGCACCATGTGAACTGTTCCAGGAAACAGTTTTACTGAGTTATCTGGAAATATTTTATGATTAAAACCCAGAAAAAAACCCTCAAATCTAGTGCAAGGTCTTATGGTTGGTATGGTCTTAACAGTTCCACTCGGCAGAGTTATCCAGATCACTGGGTAACTGGTCTGCTTCTTGGAACCGGTCGCTGCATGTAGACATCTTCAAGGGAAAATAAATTCACAGTCACACTTCTCTGTCTTACGTCTAGAACTCAGAACAAAAGTAAATATTCTTGTAAACAAGTGGGGCACAAAAAATAAATGAATAACAAGCTTCAGTTCAGCTATGCGTCTGTAAAGGGTGATGATTTATCACAGGACATAACCTCACACATATCCATGATTTAATCCAAACTGTGCATATGGCAGAGTGTGATTAGCTTGAAATTAAATATAACATTTTGGAAATATAATATAATAAGGGGTTAGTCCTAAATTTGATTTCACATAAACCTTTTATCCCCTGTTACACAGGACACATCAGTCACACATCAAATGTCCTTAAGTAAAACACCAAGCTCCAACCTTCTTCCAGACCTTTAACTCTCCCGCCTCTTGTGCAATGTATTTGTGTATGTGTGAGTCCGAGGATTAGGCAAAATTATAAAAGCCTGAGTGCAGTGTGAATATGGCACAGAGTACAAGCAAGTCTCAACTTTCATTTCACCTACAAGTTTGCAACAAAAAAGCAGCAAACACACCCACCCAGAGACCACGCAGTGCTGAAGGGCGGCTGATGCTCAATCCCATGTCATTACTGCATGATTACACTGTGTGCTGACTGGCTCAGCTCACCACTTTGCCAGCACGGGGGGATGTGGATGGCGTGTAGCCTCAACTCTCAGGGTGATGCTGTGCTGCTGATGTTGAGCCGAGCGTCTGTGTAGCAACAGCCAAACAGCTCAACAAAGCTACAGGTCCTCTGGAGACGCTGTTAGAGCTGCTGCTCTCCCAGGGAACTATGTGAGGAGGCCGAGGCTGAGTGCTCTGCAACCCCCTGATGGAAAAACAGTTTCAGTATTCCTATGGTATATTATATTATGCAAATATTACCAAGGACCACAATATTTTAGAAATCATGTCATGTCACCACAGAAGATGTACAAAAGCAATAAACACATACAGTAATAAAAGCAGTACCATCAAGTTGGCAAAGAAAGGCAAATGTTACTGCGAGAGAAATAAATATCAAATAGATCAAGCTGTAAATGCTAGGTGAAAACAATGAGGGTTAAAGTGTTGAGCATCTTTCAGCTCATTGTTTTGGTTGTTACAGTTTGTAACTTTATTGTTTTGGTGCAGTTTCACCGCTTGCTTCAACCCACTTCCAGCAGCACCTGTTTTCAGCAGAAATGCTCTGACAGCAGAACACACAGCGTCTGGCTGGTGAACATAGCGGAGCGTTTAGCTGCTGAAGAGCTAGATATTTCCCTCAGGCAGAAACCAAATAGCTAAAAGGAGAGTGAATATTGGATTTACATTCATCAGGGACCAGGGCACACAACTTACAACTTACTCATAATACCTTTATACTGTAATAATATGTAAATGCTGTGTTTCTCTGCTGCCCCCAAAAGCCAGTGAATGCAGTTTCAGCTCTGGGTCCATGATTTCTGGCTTGGTTTTTCATTTTCATGGACACAGCACTCTCAGCCTTTATTAATTTGTGCCAAAGACAATCATTTCAGTTTGGTCTGCATTTAGCTGCAGAACATTCTGATAGCTGGTTTGTTCATTGCACTTGTGGAGAGAATATATGGGACTGTAGTCGCTTGGTAACAGGGCAATTTGGCTGTTTGGTTATGATTTCTTGTTTTGCATAATTTTAGCTAAGGCCAGCATGTCAGTTTGAAGAAAAGAGGGCCAGTGTTTGTGCTTTGGGGAACTCCTATATGATGGTCTACCATACACTCAATGCACTTTACTCACTGCTGAATACAGAGCTGTGTCAATAAAGATATGCTGTAGTAATATTAAAACGATGTTCAGTGGGTTTCTTTCTATAGCCTAGGCTATGTCATTTAAATATATTTCAGGTCCCTGCTTCTCTCCTGTGTTTCAGGTTGGAGTAGTTACAAAACGTTTACTTATGTAACACTTGCATTTATTCTTTCTCTTTGTTCAGTTTGTAAAATCCACCCCAGATCCTAAGATGTACTGATGGGCGTGTGTGCCCATTCAGTCAGGAATCCAGGTCTATTGTTAAATAAAAACTTCTGTTTCAGCCCCCTGTAGTAAATTAGTAGGCATGTGGAGGAGACTGGCACCGCACGGGCACACATTTCCACACACACGGGGGTGGAGGGAGGGGACGCGTGGGGTGGGTGGGTAAACGGGGAGGGGGGGTCTGTATCGTCAGCTCAGAGTGTGGAGGGAGGGCCCGCCTTGTGGCTTCCTGGCCCCCTGCACCGGACGGGTGTATTATAGATGCGCATCCAAGCAGCCGGGCGGCGGGGGCCACTGGACGGGTGCAATGTGACGGGTTCAGGAGCGACTAGGACGCAGCCTTAACCGCGCAGGAGGGAGGGTTTAACCATTAACCACCATTAACCATTAAAGCAGCTGTGCAGAGCCGGTACCGTACATAAGGCGTGCGCACCGGCGTCCACGCTTCAGCCTGAGCGCGTTACAAGAGGTGGAGGATCCATCCAGCCAGACGCACCAAGTTCTTGCGCCGTTATTGCTCATCACTCCGGTCTGGACCGCTGACACTAAAAGGTAACCACCGCCGAGGAGCTTTTTATCTGACCACCTGCTGGACGTTTTAGCTGCAGTTTTATAAAGCACTCTGGCCGAGCGGCTGAGAGTCACGCCGTGTCTTTATCGAACGGAATGGGTCACTTGGCGACAGAAAGAACAGCTTTTACTCGAGGTGTGTATGTATAGGGTTGATAAAGAGTGGGACGTTATGGTGCGTTATGGTTCATGTTCATGGATGTATACCTACTCGTGGTGGTAGTGGCAGTGACATGGGCTGCAGCCTGGTGCTGGAACAGAAAGCCCTCTGCCCTTGTTTAAATGAGCAGTATAATAGAAAAGGAGGGTCGTCTATTCAGCCCTGACCAGGGGAGCACTAATTTACGCCTTTGCCATGTTGGGTTCGGGTGGTATTGGTCTTGACTACTAAACAGAAGATTGTTTCAGTGGGGAAAGCCAAAGTCTTCTTGCGGATGTCGCAACATGCAGGCGAGGACAGCTGCGTTAAGCGAGCAGCCGTAAGACAGGAAGCAAGGAGCCTGGCCTTCAAAATAAAAGCGCTTCTTTCATGATCTGTGTATAACTTTCGGGCAAATTCAAGTTCAGCTTGTTCCGTGTCACCTTGTAGCTCTGCCCACCCACAGATCACCAGCGTGTCAGTCATAGTCATCCATCAGCAGCAGAACTGCTGTGGGCTTCCTACAGCTTAGATGAAGGTAACGAGAAAGCACACAGATCACTACGCCCTGTAGGATGATGAACATCTAATCTGCAAATATATCTTTCCACACCTGTTTCCATGACTAGATGATCAGATGAGGTTTCAGATGTCAGGCTTTTTTAAGTGGTGTAATTTGAAAAGATTGTCTCTATTACACTTTCCTTTAATGAACCTTACTGTTGTTAGCCTGCTTGGAGGTTGACAGTGAACTTTTACCCGGACTGACAGAAGACTACGCTTGCTGTTTATTTTGAAAGGTGTGCCAGGAAGTGCTGTGTGTGCTGTGGGGCCGCGCTGACTGTGCTGTTGGGGCTCCGTTTTCAGAGGATGTACGCAGCACCTCTGTCAATGGTAGAATATTTTTAGCCGCCTGGAGGAAATTTGGCGCTGGATGAAACTGCTTTTTAACTCACTGCTCGCTTCTGCCTTAATGTCAGTGGAGAGCTGAGAGTCAATGTTGGTCTTAAACACCGTCAATTACAAGGCTTACAGTCAGTCTGTGGTGGGCACACACAGTTAAGTTGTTTTCATCCTCTGTAATACAAAATATTTGTTTTCAGGATTCTAGCAGTTGTTTTATATCATTGTGGTGAGTGCATGCTCCCTCTTTTAGTTGGCTATTTGATATTTATATTACATTTTATTAACACTGACTTGCTGTAAACACTGCACATTAGCCTACATTCTTCAAGGATTGTGGTTTTGGCTAAGGAAAATTAAAATGAGTCCTATTTAGTACATTACAATACACTGTAGAATAAAATCTGGGGAGAGCCGGGACGAATGAAACCCAGCGATTTTCTTGGAGCCCATACAAGTCTGATATGCCAAACTAGCTCAGCACATACAGTCCACAGTACTTAACAGGACCGGGAAAGATCAGGTGGATACGTCACACTTTCACGGAGTTACACGAAATAAGCTGTGCTCAATGACGAAAAGTAAATTCACTCAAGCAATAATTTATTTTGAATGACGAGTTGTGTTTATTGTTCCATGTGCCATGGTCATGATCACATGAAAGATTAGTTAGTACTTTAACACATCCTGAAGTTTTAAATGTCAAAGTTTTACAGTTTAGAAGCTAGTGAAGTTTAATCGTCAGAAGTCACGTAGCTACACTATTTAGATACTGCAGGAGGGGGGGGCAGAGTCCACCAGGCTGCAGGCTGGACCACCAGGATACTCACAGCCAAATAACAGGGTCTTCACAGTAGAGATGTAGGCTAAATAAATAGAGCAGCCAATATCTAATCCAAATGTGCGTTAGCTGTTGGATATTCTAGTTAGCTAGCTAAGTTATATTTATACTTTTTTTTTTTTTTTTTTTTTTTAAGAAAAAGGACATAATGAGTTTGCAATTAGGTATTAAGGAGGGCACTGTCAAGCTTTCTAAATAAAAACAAGAATAACATAATCTGTTTAAATGTATATGGCTGTGTTTCTTCTGTCCGGCACAGTAGGGATGTAAGAAAAAATGTACACCTTTCCTTCAAAGTGAGATTATACTGAAGTCCTTCCACATTTTATTGATAGAACACACACGTGAGTTGTTATTGACGACAACAAATGATTTCTGTTTGTAACGTTAGATTTTAAAATGACGTATGTGAAAAGTGTTTCAATCATCCTGGCTCTCCCCCTATCTTCCAAAGCTTGAGCACTGCCATACTGTTGGAAAGTTACTCAGCCCCTATTTTGTTGCTGTTTTCTTACTACATAATATTTTGAATGGATGAATAATAGACATGTATCATAAAGTACATTTACATTTACATAATTACTTCAAATTAAATTGTCAGGAATCAGCCTTGGTTTGAAAGTAAACCTGGAACGGGGCTGGATTGTGTATAGCCTACACTTATGACTGAATAATCCATTCATTTGTTCTTTTCCCAGGAGACTGTCGACTCTGGTTGGAGGTTCTTTTCCGCAGCCGGTAATTCAATCCTCATACTGCAGACCTTTAAATATCTCCTTTGAAAACCTGCTAGCAGCCACGTGGTGTAAGGTGAGACATTCGCAGCCCAGTACACTGACCAGTTTGACATGATCAGTGGACTGAGAGCATGACTAGTCTGCAGTGCAGTCTGACCACTTCAGACCTCTGATTTAATTTTTGCTGTAGTCAACTTTAAAGGACTGTTCACAAGTGACAAGAGGGGATTTCTGTGGCGAATCCCCAAGCCAATAGATTTTCTTTCCCTTCTGTTTTGAACCAGTATGCGTTCTTCTTTTTTTTGCCGGCTTACTGTGAGCACCTTGCAGTGAATGGAGAACATACTGGTTCTGCTCCCGAAGCACCGACAGGAACACGGGCTCTGCAGACGCACGGCTGCATGTGCCTTGCTGCAGGTTTCTTCCTACAGAGCAGTTTTCTCCTGGTCTTTAATACCGACCCCCACTCCCTGTAAGCCTCTTTAATGGGATAAATCAATTGCATCGATCAGGTTCAAAACCAGATCAGGTGGCCAATTCCATTCTGACTTCCCCAAAATTGAAGGAAACCTGACCTTTTCTTGTCTAGCCCACAGTCGTCCAAAGGCTTCCGCATGGTACTTTGGTCGAAAGAACAAGACAAACTCCCCGACATCGACATGTCCTCCGGGGACATTGAGGTGAAAAAGGAGGGAGGCCCCCTTACCCCAGCCTTCCTCAACTCCAACTGCTCCGTCCACCCAGTGATCCTCACCAAGGGTTCTGAGGAGGTGAGCCCAGGGACCGGGGGCGAGTTTGAGCTCACAGAGGTCACATCCTTTACAGAGAGGGCCAGTGAGACCAGGGAGGATGAGGAGAGGTCAGAGATTGTGGTGGCAATGGACTGCCGGGCCAATGCCAAAGGTCAACGGGAGGAAGACGCTCTCCTGGAGAATGCAAGCCAGAGCAACGAGAGTGATGACACCAGCACCGACCAGAGCCCAGAACCACCGCCGCCCCTCAAGGAGACCTCCTTCTCCATCGGCCTGCAGGTGGTCTTCCCCTTTCTGCTGGCAGGGTTCGGGACAGTGGCAGCTGGAATGGTGCTAGACATTGTCCAGGTGAGTGATCCTGACATACTTTATCCAGTAGTGAGCACACAGCATGTATTATATGAAACTGTGCTTGGTTTGTATAAGAAATTGGTCAGTCCAAATAAAACATTCACTGTGGTTAATTCTTTGCGCTCTTGAAAAACGTATCCATTGCATCAAATGGGGTTCTGCTCCTGTACAAGCCTAAAGAACATGTATGGAAACTAATGGGAAGTTAAATGTTTGAGTACTTTGGAAGGTGCTGGGAAGATTTGGGCCAACATGCTTCCATCTTTATTTGGAGAGCAGTATCACAGGGTGACATTGGTTCAAATGTCCAGAAACACTCATTCAGAGATTAATCTAGTTAGCTGAACTTTTCTCACTATCCAGTTACCTGTGAAAAGCCACAAGAGCTCCGTCTTATTTAAACCCCAGTTAAGGTCATCAGTTGTGTTTCTCAGCCGGTGCTCCAGGTAGACCATATGTACTGGGTCATACTGTGGGATGGGAAGCATTAAAATGAACTGGTTTAGGGAGCCTTGGCCTGTGTCTGTCATTGTGCTGCTGGCCTATCTGATGGCATACCTTTGGAAATGGCTGGATAAGGCAGTTGATACAGACCATTGGGGTATTTACATAACCTTTTTCTCCTCTAAGGCCTGCCTGCCTGTCCCCACACCTTCTTTTTGATATCTTGCATAGAAGAATATTGAAGTACAGTGTGTAGCCAGAGATCTGCTGAATCAACTCTGCCTCCAATTTATAAATACTCTCTTTCCTTCTTTCCCTGTTGACTCAATGCAGTCGCTGTCTTGCTATCAATATACCATGTTGTGCATATATTTCTTTAAGTCAGTTTGTGATGCAGATAAAGCTGCGTACATGCATACTGATGCCAATGTGGTGTACACCAGAAAGTCAGCACACAGAGGAGGGGAAGAGGGAGTAAGTGTATTTTCTGTGAGCACCTGAAATGTCAGCACACTTCAGTCGGAGTGAAAGCAAAACACAATGTGGTGTCAAAGCCTCTATTGCCGTGTGGTTAGGTATCCTCACTAAACCAGGAATGCAGAGGTTTGAGGTCAAAAAGTTTTCACGCTGCCTCAACTTAGGCACCCTGCTGCTGTGGTTTCTCCAGTTTCCAAAACACTCAGCGCACCATTCCTTTAGAGGTGAGGCTGGGAAAGAGGAGAAAGAAGGTACCTTGGCCTTATCTTTCCCTTCTAGTCAGCCATGCTTGTGCCTGCAGGCAAACCTCGAAGAAATGCTTGCAGTGAGATGCGAAGTGAGGCTTGACGGTCAGTCTGAAACGACTGTTCCAGTGAGTTCGGCTGAGCACCGAGCGAGTTGTCTCACTGCCTAATTCCCCCTCCATGAAACCATGAACCGCCAACTCAGCTAATCCCTCCTGTCCTTGCACGAAGGTAATTGTCTAACTCTCTCTCAGTCTCTCTCTCTCTCTCTCTCTCTGTCTCTCTTTCTCTGGTGTGGTCAGACTGCACCAGTTGTCTGCTAAAAGTAAGCTTGAAACCTGGAACGTGCTAGAGTTCCTTTGGTTGCTGTGTCTGCCTGGCCCGGGTTTAGAAGTTGCGGCTTGTAACGGTCCATGACATGGCTTTTTGCGTCACTCTCTATAAGGCTTCTTTCGAAATGAACTCTTTAACGTTGGTCACTTCTACACTGGTCACTATCTACAGCACACACACAGAACTTCTGGCCTCATTCCCACTCGAGTTTGGCTCTGAAAGGACAGTACGGGCTGGTAAAGAGTCTTCTGCATAGTTCTGCTTAGTGACTTGGCAGCACAATGACCTAAAACCCACCATCTCTCAGAGCCATAGCCAGGAACTTAGGACTCTGAGGCTGACCATCTCACTTGGAATAAAGGTTACACACACAAAGGTCATGTAGTGCTAGTTTTCCTGGGAGTGCAAGTGTCAAAGGCCAGATGGGTTATATGCTATCAGTCACAAGACAGTTTTAGTTTCTAAAACATACATTTCCTTTCTCTGCACAGTCAAACTACAAATCAAAAATGCAAAAAAACGTACTACAGTAAATTGTCATCACCATCTGTGTGTGTATGTCCGTGTCTAGCCATGTGTATGGAGGACGGATTCTGGAAATAAATACAGAAATAAATAAATGCTCAATAAATAAATAAGCATCCGATTAAATGCAAAAAAAATACAGTAAATAAATAAATGTAGGCAGTAATTAAATTATACAATGAGACATAAATGTATATATCTATTTTAATTAGCTTCTTTATTTATTTACATTTGTAATAGTTACCTTATTTATTTACTGTCCGTTATAATCTTCAACTTTATTTATTAATTACTTCTTTTTTAAATGTATTTATTTATGTGTGTTTTAATATTTTTGTCTGTTTTATTCTTCTGTTGCATTTTCTACCCATTTATTTCCACAATGATTATATATTTCTGCCTGTCCTTTTTACATTTCTCTATGCATTTCTGCCTCATTATGCAAATGAGGAGGGGCTGTGTCTCAGGGGGTCAACTTATTGCCTATTGGTGGACCAGTCAGGCAAACTCACACATCAACAAGCCTTGCTCCTCACACAGTCACAAGAGATGGCTTCCTTTAGTGAAATGAAGTGATTAGCAACTCTATCTGAGGACAATTCTACCAGCCGTGTTTTCCTTCTTTTTCGTGTGGACGCTCTGACAGGCAGTATTTCAGTTTGCGGCATGCATGGACACAGAACTGCGGTAAAGTTAACTGTTGTTTGTGAGAAGCACATGTTCAGCTAGTAGCACCTAAATCTGGAGTGCACTTGTATTCGACTCTGTATGGTAAATTCAGTTTTAACTGAGCAGAGTGAGCTGACTGGCAGGTTAGAGACTTTATTCTGTCAGTTTCTCTCTTTACAAAGAAAGAAAAGTGTTGCAGTCTGAGAATCTTATCTGAAGAGAGGCTATCAAATCTCAATAGTATGCAATGCAAGCACCACATTTGTGAAATTAGCACAAAGGTTTTCAAAATAAGGTGTTAAATGTATATACAGTATGAAAATAAGATTATATGGATTATATTCACAGGAAGTATAAAACATGTTACATGTGTCCATTAAAAGTGAAATAAAACTAAAATGACAAATTACTTTACTTAGATTGAAGTACTGCAGTAGTACATTGAAATACCTTCCTTTCTGATAGGAAGTCTTGTTAAGGTACTATAAAACATATTTCTCCTTAAATTCTGATTTGAATTGTGGACAACTATGACCACATGATGTAGAAAAATGAAACACTTCACTGCCCAAGTCAGGTATAACACAAGGATTGTTTATTAGGCTACATCATGGAGTTCATTGACAGTCTAGAATGAATGAACATTAAATAGTGATCATCAACAGATGGATTACCATTTATCAGTTCACCCTCAAAAACTAAACTGACTCTCACAATCATCTGATTCAGCTGTCACATTTTTTTAGATACAGCTAATTCAGAATAAATAGCTGTGGCACTGGGGCTGAAAATGTGCAATTATTAAAACTATTTAAACAACAAATACTATTTGATCATGTTCTCTCGTTTTGGTTTGCAATATGCAACTATTAAACTTGGCGTACCGGGACATTTTCTTGCATACCGGGACTTCTCCCAAGCTGCCGGTCCTCTCCTCTGCCCTCTCCATATCAGGTTCTCTGGGCGCTACGTGACGCTCACCTTTTCCCGTTCTTGTCTGGCTGCAGCCGTGTGCTGAATGTAGCTTGTCAATGTCAGTTTTGGTGAACTGACCAATCACAGCCTGGATGGGGCGGGACATTTAAAAATATTGACAGATATTTCAGGTGTCATTTACACTGCGGACGCTGGAGACATGTCAGAATCAGAATGTCTCCATCTCTTTTTGAAAGCTTTTGTTAAAAATGTTCTGAAAAACAGCCACAAGAAATGTTAAATAACAAATGAAACAATGCACAAAAGGTGGCAATGCAACTGAAATACAGATGAAACAAATGTGCATTGTCCAAAAGCTGATTACTGCATTATATTCCTTTATATTTTGAATTGTCACCAGCTGCTTAATTTTATTTCCCTTCATATAAATAAAGACATTTCCTCCATAAATTGGTGCAGAAAATGTCTCCAGAATGCAGGAAATTAAGTTTTTAGTGTTCAAAGTCTTTAGTGTTATAATATTTACTAGTTTCACCTTGAGGTTAGGGTTGTGTGTGTGGGGGGGGGGTACTGGCACCTATTTTTTCAAGCACTGTAAAAAACATTTCTTGCTGCTGTTATGACTATGATATTAGTTAAAAAGTCGGGAGAGACTGCTTTGTTTGGGCGTGAAGGGGTGGTAGTGAAAGCAGTGTTTCCAATAATTGTCAACGCTGCCACATATTGATTTTCTATTTTTTTTTACTAGGCGTATTTAAAATCGTATTTGACTGACGAGCTGTATTGAGGAGCATAAATTCGTGCAGCACCTCCTCTCTTTCTCTCTCGTAACACTGCTGCAGAATAACACATAATATATGAATTAAGGGCACAAACTAATTGCGTTTTTCTAAATGTTCAGTGGTGTCCGACCACTTGAACTTCCTGTTATGTTCTGACACTCATAACATAACAACATATCAGCTCACAGCTATTAACACCTGACAATATAAAGCGACTTGGTTATGATCTGAGTGATTAGTAGGTTAGACTTCGTTTTTGTTACCCCAAACCCTGGCTAATCTTTCACTCTGTCCTCAGGAATCCTTGGAGGGGGTTGCTTATTTGTCAGATAGTTCAGGCTTCATTTGATTTAGGACTTAAAGCTTGATCATGCTTTTTGTGCATGTTTGGGAGCTGTAGTGCTTCTTATGACAACTTTGTGCCTGAAAATGTAAACTAGAGTAAAGCTTTAATGTTTGCCTTGCAGACAGCAGTCAGTAGTAAGTACAACAATTAATAAAGCATATGTGGCACTAGGAAGTTTCAGCTCTCTTTATCCCCCCCAGACAAAAAAGAACCCACTTGACATTCAGTGAATGTGGACCCTCTTTGTTTATCCATTAAATGCCAGTAAGGTCTTGTTGCATAGCTGATGTTCATCTTTCAGGCTCCAGTACGCCAGTTGGCCGCAGCTATGTAAATGTGACTCTCCATGGCATGTGTTTGTACATGAGGCTGGACCCAAACTGTTCCATCTATGCTGCAGCACGTGGAAAATGACACAGACACCCCCTAAGGGTTTTACAGTGCGAGTATTTCACTCACATTTGACCCTAAAAATAGGTACATGCTAATCGGAAAAATGATTTACAAAGACAGTGTGCAAGTAAAAACTCACTCCCACCACACCATAGTCGGACTGGCCATCAGGAGTGCGGGGAGAAATGGCTCTTTGGGCCACTTGAGCAGCCCGTTATACAAAAACATGAGCGAGAGAGATGCGTCTTCGGTCCACTTTGATTCTGCACCAGCACACATCCTCCTCCTCACGATCCTGAACACCAGTTCAGCTGTTAGTCCAGGTGAGGCCTGCAGCTGAGGCCGTGAGACAGAAAGTATTTAGCTATATCGCTGCTTGTTCAACTTTTCATAAAGTCAGTGCGCTCATCAGTGTCACATTTCGTGAACCAACCAATCACAAACAAACCGACATAACAAAAAGTTTGACATGCTACAGCAAACTTTCAAACTGTTGAACTCGTTCTGAATCTCTGTATGGTTCCTTCTTTGATTATTCCGTTTCATAACCAAATCAGAAAAAACAAAAAAAACAAGTGGTTTTTCTGCAGCTGCGTTTTGTTCTATCCATGACCAGTGTTGTATCTCTACTGGTTTTCAAACTAACTGGCTGCTGTACACGTTCCGCTGTTGTTGGCAACAGCTGTGGTCTGCCTCAGTCCCCAGATTGGTCACACTAACAAAACATATAGGCTATTTCTATTCAAGTCGCATTGCATCTCATAGTGACTGTGACGAATATTATTGTAGAAGTGAGAACTATATTATAGCCACATACAAAAAAAGAAATTAAAGACTTTTTCTTTGCAAGATCGCACCAAGCTGGGTTTGAACTCACTGGAGCAAGAACATTTCCTTGTTGCGGCGCGTCACTTTGCCTGCGAACCACTCAAACACTCTGCATCTCCTATTTCCAGTCAACTATCGATTGAGAACTTCAGCATCCAGGCAGCATTTTGTTTTGGGCTGATCTGAAGCAGCAAAACCCACTTATGTTCAAGCTCATCTTAATTACATTTTATCAGGCACCGTCATCGCCCAAGTGTATCTGCTGCAGCACACAAAGCTACACAGATTGGACACATTAAATATCAAAATTAATAGTTTTGGTTATAAAACAGAGAAACAAAAACTGATGTCTGTTTTTGTTTTTCTGTTTTGTTTTTAAAACTGTTTTGAAACGAAATAATCACTAACCATACACGGATTGTTCTGCATGAATGGTCATCTTATTAACAAGTTAGCACATTAAACATAACACATTAGTGACTGACCACCATGTAGAGCATTTTTCTGCACATGGATTTAATGAATGAGAACAACCAACAAACATGAAACGGCTGTAACTGGAATTACTATTATGCTATATTATGCTAAGCTATATAGTAGGCTATTATCTGCTAATTATAATGAATATAGTAATATTATATTTTTAATGTATTAATATACTAGCAGTATACTATTTTATTGACATTATACTTTTTATTTAATGTTATAATATTATACTATTGTTCTGCTTTATACAAGTCCCACATTCCACAAGCTGCAATGCACCAATCACAGCCGTTTCTGTGAACAGTGTTTTAAGAGCTGTTATCAACATGTCAGAGTTTCAGAAGTAATCAGTATCAAAGCTTTAACTCCTCTGGTTTCACATCATAACTGCACCCAAGGAGAAATGCGCGCACACACACACACAGTCTAAATATGCCTCTAATAATTGTTTGTTAATAAACTCTGCGTTACTTGAACATTTTCACTGTGCTCCTAAATGTCTGTGTGCTCTGAATGTTTTCATTTAGGAGCACATGTGCTCCTTGGGGAAAAGGTTGCGTAGCCCTGCACCTGATTAGTTTCTGTGAGTCTGAGTTGCGCTGACATTGCATGCCATCAGGTTCAACTTCCCACTCAGTACAGCAAGTATGATCACAAATACATTGGGGCCATGTTACTCAACTGGGCAACCAGACCCATGTGGGGTTTGCATACCAGAGCTCCTATAGGTCTGTACACAGGGGTACTGGAGTTGTCCAGTAGAGTTCCTAGAACCAAGGAGGTGGCCATGGGGAGGGAGGGCTTGTTTGGCTCAGAGCCAGTGTTCCATGGAGACAACAACATATATCACCACAGGGGAGGCAAAGAGGGAGATGGGGGAGTGAGACAGAAGTAGAGAGAGAGAGAGAGGGAGAGAGAGAGAGAAGGCTTGAAAACATGCGGCTGTGAAAGAAGAGAGGAGTGCTCACAGAGGTGCTCACAAGGCTGCTGGCTTGGCAGAAGGCAGTGAGCCAAGCCGAGGGGCTGCCTGTTGGAAAGGAGCTCTGCTTGGCCTGGTGACAGCAAAGGGGATAGACAGAAGGGGTTTTAGCTCCACACTGGAGTTTTGCTGCCACACCTACTGACATGACACATCTGAACTGTAGACGTCACCCCTTATCAGCCCTGTACATCTGGACGTGCAGTGGAAGCTATGCAGTCAAACAGAAATTCAAGTTTGCTAGTGTGAGAAATGTGGGCCAACAGTGTTTGTACGTAGCTTCACTGTCAGCTACTCCTCTCTGTTCCTCCCCTCGCCTATTTTCTCCTTCTCTTTTCTGTTCTGTGTCAGCCTCGTTGAATATTGATTCAGCTCTGGGCTGACTGGACTGTAAGTGCTGGGGGCCTTTGGGACCGGCTCCAAAGATAAGCACTTTTACTGGAGATAGATCGATTGCCCCACACTAGCTGTGTTTTTTGCCACAGTAGACCACAAACCTGCTATTAATGCTTGCACTCTAATGGAGGCACAGCAACAAGCCCAGAGACCGACTGGGAACCCACCTCTCAAGGACATCTAATAAGACCAGCCATAAATGTCATTACAGGCCATGAACGAGGCTCTGGATGCATGGATCACATGTTATAGGATACGTTTCTGTGTTAGATTTAACCAAATATTGAAGGTCTGAGTAGGCCTGTAAGTTTGTGTTAGTGAGAAGAGCAGGCTTTAGCACTTTAATTGCTTTTTTGAAATAAAAATAATCTTTTGAATCTGTATTATGGTGGGGTTCCTGGGAACACACATTCTCGTGCATGTGCTAAACATGATTTGGGATTCTCTCAAGCAAGCCCACCACCTGTCCAAGTTGGCCTTTAGATTTAGCATAGCTCTTGGCTCTGTCAGCTAAGGTGGAGGCTGAGCAGCAAGGCCACAGAGGACAGTGAATGTAAAAAAGCACTCTGAGGTTGGAGGCTTTGAATGACTTACCAATAAACTATGTCATCCTTTATTTTTGGTTTTTATTTACACCATGGTACACAGTATAACACTGGTAATATACCATTTACTGTATATGAGCTGTGAGGCAGCCTAGTGTCCTTGTGTTAAAACTGCAGGAGGTAAAGGCTGGTGGGTAAAGGTGAAAGAGGGGAATCACAAGGGAAAGGGGAGAATGGCGTCCACAAGAAGTTCCAGTGACCTTGTTCTTGTTAAAGGAGAGCAAAGAGTTGACATGTCACAGATTGTAAAAGGTCTGTAAGTCCTGCATACATATCTGCTTTCACCACTAAATCACTATTAAAGCACAAGGTCACAGAGATTTTTCTCCAAACTGAGTTTGTGTACCGGTTCAATGTGGATCTGATGTGTGTTTATCATGTTGATGTCCTGTTACTGATGTTGCTTGATGGTCGTTGCAGCACTGGACGGTGTTTACGGAGGTGTCAGAGGTGTTCATCCTGGTTCCAGCACTGCTGGGGCTCAAAGGCAATCTGGAGATGACCCTGGCCTCTAGGCTGTCCACAGCGGTAAGTTGTAAGTGTTTGTGTGAGTCTGTGTACCTTTTAACAGTTACCAAGTGTCATAGGTTGGATTCTATTCCATTATTCTATATAAATAATTAGATATTTTGGATTTGCTGCCTGTGTATAAAGCCTGGAGAATTGTTTCAGTTGTTGTGTGAAGTGTTTCCTCTCAGAGGTTACCCAATCATTGCCTGGCAGCCCGTATCAGATACGTTCAGCTGATTGCTGTTGGAGAGGTCAGAGGTCATGTTGCCAAACGTGACCCGGGTTGCAGACTTATAGCAACAGAGAATAAAATAACATTATGCTGACTGCTGCTGTTCTGGCTTAGAGTCTCACATGTTACAGGACACGTTTGTGTGTTAGATTTAACCAAATATTGAAGGTCTTGTTAGGCCTGTAAGTTTCTGTTAGTGAGAAGGGCAGGCTTTGGTGCTTTAATTGTTTGTTTGTTTTTTAAATAAAAAGAATCTCTTGAATCTGTATTGTGGTGGGGTTCTTGGGTAATTATAGCGAGCTATCCTGCAGGCTATCCACATTCACATTGTAGACAGCTAAATGCTGTTTTGGTCTGGCAGCAGTAGAGTTTGATGCTAAATGTGCATCTATTGTCTGTGGCACAACTGAGCTCTTGGCTAGAATGCTGCTCTCTGAGCTTACAATGTCCAATCTGAGGGTCAGTGACCAGAAGCATCGCTAAACAGAGTTTAGCAGTACAGCCTACAGTTATGACTGATATTAGAGAATTAGCCCAGTACTGCTCTTAAGCACACCAATCCTCACATTCTGTCTACTGGCCTGTGGGAAATAGATGACAATGATTAGCACAGCACGGACAGCTTTGAACTCAGTCACACCACAAAAAGATCTTTTCTTACAAGAAATTTAGAATTACACATTTTTCAAGTCTTGAAACAAGTAAGCATCGCCAAATCTGTCTCAAACCACCTTCTGTAGTGTGCTAATCCATTTAACTACAAGCTACAACAAATCCACATTTGCCATTAAATTTCCAAATCCAACTACACTGAGTAGGAGTAATTATGACCAACATTATATTATTTGGTCAAGGTCATATTGTTGCATGATTAATAAGCAAGTGGTTAGGGCGCGTTAGCATGGGTGCTAATGCCCGGCGCAGCGAGTCCCCCTGTTTGCTGCATGTCATTACCGTATTAACTTTCCCCCATGTCCTGTTTCAATCCACTAACACATCAAATAAAGACATACAATTCCCCCAAAAAATAGTCATCCAGCAATACTGTAGCTGCAGCAGAACTCAAACATTTAGTTTAGAATTTAATCTTATGTAGCGCTCCTACCCTCTAGAAAGTAAGGTTGGGCAGGATAACCGTACCACATTTCACCACAAATGCACTTTAACTGTAACAAATATCAGTGGGCCCACACTATAACACTCACACACGCAGCCGGCAAAGATTTCTGACTTTACTTCGTCTGCAAAGCTAATACTCCGAACTCTTTTCTCCCTCCTCTCTGTCAATCACTTGCCCTCACTCACACACGCTCGCCCCTCCCGCACCTGCTCACTACCTGATCATGCACTCCCCTCATGCCTACTGGCATCAACCAATGAAAACCCACTATTAGACTCCAGCACAATTATCACAGATTTACCAGTTGCATATAAAAACCATGAACTCCTCATAACATGTTTTTAACTAAACATTATCTTTTTATACAACATATGTGCAACATACAACAGTTTAACAAAATACATCACCATATTTTTACCATTTTCATTAATATGAAATGAATTTTAATCTCAGATTTAGTTATAATGAACTCTTTTATACTCTACTATTTATACTGGGTTACACTTAAGTGAGTGTTTGCAAGACATAACGTCATGATAATGTTTCACCAATGCTTCAGCACTGATTTAACTAATTGTCAGTGGTTACATTACAATATTAAATCTCTTCAAAGTAATGAGAATATCTTGGAAGATACATTTTACTTGTATCAACATGGAAATTACATTTTAAGACTTATTACCAGATAGAATGCCTCTTTAATGTTAATATGTTTGTATTGGTTTTTGCTTCAGCACAGAAGGATTCTCACATCATCACAAAGTAGGCCAGAGTGTGGTGCTTGTCCTGAGACATTATTGTTAGCTCTCTGCTGGCTTGCCCCAGCGGGACCAAGTTTCTTTCCACGCTGCCGCTAATTATGAGCAGATTAAGACCACTGTAAATTTCCTAATGCGCTTATTACTGAAAAAAATAATGTAATCCCTAGTACTGGCTGGCTGGGGGAGTTTTCAGTTCACATGACCGTGTTTCCTTTCAGATTTTTTTCCTTTGCCCTTTTGAACTTCTTTGTCTGAATATTTCTCTGAGAGGGGGCTTGTCTTTCTCATCATTGTTTATCTGACTAAAGGACATAAGCAGTTATTTTCTCTGTCCTGTCAAACCCCTCCTCGTGTTACTGATTCTAATGGATTGTACATCAGAGATTACAACTGCTGCAGAAGCCATTGTCCTCACTTCATGTGTGTCAGATGTTTCAGCATACACTTCATTCACATGTGTTCGGGTTCCAACATTGTAAATGACAGATTTGCTTTGTATGGAACGTGAGCATGGCGGTCGTAGCAGGAGTCGTCTATGCACAGGTTTACATGGCGCTGATGGGCGAGGAGGATGTTTGCGTGGTTGTAATGCTGGCAGATACACGAGTAATAACGACACACAGTCCCACACACACGCTCATCATGTCAGTCAGGCTGAGTTGTCCTTGTTGTGCTGCCAGTCAGAAATATTCTTCAAGTGGGGATGGTGCTTGACACACACACACACACACACACACACACACACACACACACACACAGAAAAAGTTCTGTAACCTTCATTCATTTGTGAATTGTATTAAATAGTATTATAGTATTTTAATATCCTACTGTTGCAATACATTTATTGTGAATTGTTCACATAAATAATTGCACATACGTTTGAATATTTCTGTATGCATATTTGCATGATACATCAAATTAATTAATATTCATTCAATCTGTAATATTTTCTTATTGAATTGTTGAATTTTTATTCATTCACCACATGATTACACACTCGTGATGTTGCTGTGTTCCCATATCTGAAATTAATGAGTAAAATGTTGTCATAACTGATGAGTGAGGGCAGAAACTACAGAAATAAGATTTTAATAAACATTCAAATGTAAATCAACTTTATACGTATTCATATTTATTTACATGTACACACATCACCTCTATCTGTTTTGTATTATTTCCTTTTTTAAACCCACTCAAGAAGCGGATATTCACACACACGCAGACTTTATGTGTGTGGATGTGTCCAGATGTTTCCCTCTGCATGCATAAATGTTAGAGGACAGAAAGGAAGATGAGATGCTCTGTTTGTGTCCTCTCACTATGGATGAGTGTTAGGATAATTGCTCTGGACACACAGTAGCCCACTGTAGCCACAGCCACTTGAGACCTTTAATGTGTGCGTGCGTGCGTGCGTGCGTGCGTGCGTGTGAAAGAAAGGGAGAGGACAAATGAGATAAGTGGAGTCGGCCGCAGGGTGGGGGATCAGATCAGAGTGTCTTTGTCCAGAGAACTGACATCTGATTGTTCCAAAGGGATCAAGAGACAACAGCACACACACACACACACACACACACACAGATCATAACGTGTGTTCTTGTTTCTCTTTCAGGCTAATATTGGTCAGATGGACACAGCCAAGGACATGTGGAAGATGGTCATGGGAAACTTGGCCCTGATCCAGGTAAGAGCATGTCTGACCATGCTGTATGAAAACTTCTTTTGGTTTTAATTTCACTAAAATGTGACTTTGCAAGTGTGTACTTTGGAAAGTACAGCTACTAGTAATTATGTTCCCCTCCACTGGGCAACATGATCCTGGTCCTGGATCTTTATCAGACACCCAAACAGTGAACTTTCCAAATAATCACGTTTCTTCAACAGGAACCGATTCAGTTTTCTCCTGGTCCCTTAACCTGATAAATGAAACCCAGTTTCCCATTGACATGACACTTCACATTTCACTGGTGCCAACCCTGGGAACAGTCTGTTTCATAAGGGCCCTGTGTGTACAGTAAACACAGTACTACAAACTGCAGGAGCTTGTCCATGACCAGAACATTGTCATTCGCCTTTGTTAATGACGCACTCGCTGTAGCCACTCCCTTTTCTGCTGCTTGTATTACCTTACCATACAGTATTGCTGCGTTCCAGGCAACTCAGAACTCGGAAATTTCTGACCTCCAACTAGAAAAAGTACTTTGGAACGCCACTTGAAGTCAGATTTCCTACTAGTGAACTAGGAGAAAAAATATGTACCCTGACTTCACGAGTAGCAGCTGAATGACGTCACACAACAATGGCAGCTCCCATATAAGCACACATTTTATATGGTAAACCATAAATTATATTTCCATGTATTTAAATAAAAATAATCCATGCTATCATATAGTAAAACCTGTTCTGTATGTAAGCTGATGTAGAAATATGTTGCAAATGCTATTAGGTAGCTGATTACAGTAAAGAATATCTGAAAGTCATCTTCTCTGCGCAATAGTTATTCAGTAAAATGTTAAAAACACCAAAACATTTGAAAACATTATGAAGTATAATCTACAAGGAGGATTACCACTTCAGTCACTTGTTTTCATTAAAACAGCCACAATTTTAATTAACGCCAAGGGCAGTGCTAAGGGTGCAACTGGGTATACACTTGACAAAGAGTTTGTCACGCCCAGTCATGTTTTTCCTTTACTTTCGCAGTCATGAACCAGCGTTCCCCTGGAATGCTTTCAGGTCGGAAGTCGAATGTACATGAACAAGGATATAAATAAACAGTATTCTCAGAATGAGAGGTCATTCAGTGTTAAACTTATAATATATATATACACACAGGTGCATCTCAACAAAAGAGAACATTGTGGAAAAGTTCATTGTTAGCAGCAGAACCAGACTGAGATTATTGGCTCAGGAAAGCTTTGCAGGTGTTTTGAGTTAATTAGCTGATTAGTGCTCTTCTCAAGTTGACATTTCTGTATTATAAATTCTTTATTCTAAAATTCTAATAACATTTTAAGATACTGGATTTGTGATTTCCATGAGCTGAAGTCCATAATCATCAAGATTAAAATGAAAAAAATATATCACTATATGTATGTGTAATGAATCTAGAATATATGTTCACTGTTGTTGGAAGAAAACTTTTCCACGATATTCAAATTTTTTGAGATGCACCTGTATGCCTTCTCTGTTTTGAACATTAAAACAAAATGAACTCTTGGTTTGCTTTTTGAAGTGGGCTTGTGGTTATGTAATATTTGGTGAATACATAGTTCCTGGAACACTGTAAACCACTGCTGACACAACCTTCATTAAGAGTCCCATAGTGTAGAAGTCCATAAGTGAAGTTTCCAAGTTGTTTTTGATTACAAAGCGGGTCTAGGTGCTATATACATATTGTGGAAGTACCAAAAGAAGTACACACAGCCATATTCAGAAACAGTTTCTTTAAACGGCCCTCAGGACTTGTAATGTCACAATTATACAGTCACCGCCCTCCGGTAGTGTTCCCCAGGATAAAGAGATAACTGTGAGGAAGTGAATGAGGAAGTGTTTCAGGGGTTCTGTGGTGTTAAATCAGTCACTGTAAATGAAACTATTTGTATGAATCCCATGTCAGATTCTGAAAGCTGCTCAGAGGTCACAAGATGCATGTATATCTGGAGTTTACATGTGAACTGATAGCTACATGAACCATTTTAATGTGTGTGTATTCAGGTTCAGGCCACAGTGGTGGGGTTCCTGGCCTCCATAGCTGCTGTGATTTTCGGCTGGATCCCAGAGGGACACTTCAGGCTGGGCCATGCGGTGCTGCTGTGTGCCTCCAGTGTGGCTACTGCCTTCATCGCCTCCCTGCTGCTAGGTATGGCCAGCACATAGGGTGTGAGGGGTATCCACATGTCAACAGCCGCGTCAGGTTGGAATTAGACTCAGTGGTGCTTTGTGTTAAATGCTAACTGGGGGGCATAAATGTTTGAACCAAATTTCATGGATTCCGTCCAATAGTCAGAGATATTTCACTAAAAACCACAAATGGACCTCATGGTGTGTAGAGGAAAAGTTAAGGGGACCATGAATGTTTGTACCAAGTACACCGTAGTGCTAGCCCGTCCTGTAGATGTTGTGATTAAACTTTGACTTGCTGGTGGAACCTGGTGAAGAGTCAGGGATCTCATCTGGGCTACAGTTCATGACAAATCCAGTTGTTATATTATTATACACTTCAGTCGGGACCAAAGTGGTGGACTGACTGACTGGCAGTGACATCCTTGGAGTCATGCTGCTAGCATGGCTAAGAATTGATCCTGTAAAATAATCAGATTATAAAAAATGCCATTTGCAGTGTAAACACTGTTTTTAATGGCTTTGATTAACTCACTGCTGCTGTTCGGCTGCATTCTCTCCATGTGTCTCCTCTCTATGGGAGGCTTATTCCTACTTTCCTTGCCATGAGGCGACCCTGTTTACCTCTAAACTGCAGTGAACACATTCCTATTGCTGTAGGAAACAAAACCTTTTCCATGTGTGATGTGGAAGAACATCACAGGTCTGATCCTTTTCAGATATCTTAAAGCCTTCAGCAGCACCTCATTGCATCAGGTCTTCTCACTTTATGTTTCTGACCCAACCTTCAGGTGTTGTTTTTGCCAGCGTCAGCGGTCCTGATGAAAAACAAAAGCATCCCATTCCTTCTCTTGACCTCTGGCTACACCCTCAGAGACAACATGTTCTACTCTGAGTCTCTGCTGACAGTTAACAGTCAATAAGCACCCACAGCCACGATGATAGATGGTTACAGTGGTAGCCAAAGTACTCAGCTAAAGTACTAATACCACACTGTAAAAATACTCTGTACAAGTAAAAGTATTAAAGCAGTAAAATGTCCCTGTGCATTCTGTACTATTATATATCCTCTCATCAGATTATAATTCCTCATCATTAAAGGTTCAGTGTGTAAGATTTAGTGGCATCTAGTGCTGAGGTTGCGATTTGCAACCAAATGTCCAGTCTACCACTGCACCCTACCCTTTCAAAGAGCACACAGCACAAAAGGTTTGAGACAGCAGAGAGTAGCCAGTCAAGAAACCAGGTTTCTTTAGGTAGATATGGTAAGAAATTATATTAACTGATGGATGTATGACGTTTTTCAATGAAATTACTTATTAATAAATCAAATTGTCACTGCCTTATTGTCAACGGACTCTAACCTCACTTACAAATGAAGCACACGCCTGTTTTCTCTGTTGCTTTTATCAGCCACTATTCTGCTTTTCATGTGAGAACACCGGGTTGGATGTAGTCTGTGCACGCTCCCAAGGCTCTCTCCCATTACAGCAACACCACTGCAGCTAACCACATGCAAAGTTATAATACTCATTACAATATTGAGTCCAGCTCACAAACTGTTTCGTTATCATCCAATACATGTAACTGTGCTTACATCGCTGAGCCTCCAGTGAAAGATACACAGATAGTAATGAACGATGTAGCACGTCGGCTAAATCCAGTAAATATAACGTTATCATGTCCAGAGCATGAAGTAGTTCAGTTTCGGCTTATGTTCGCTCATGAGTTCAAGCAAGCACGCGTACGAGCACACACCTGGTTGTAATCTTAGAACCGAATCCTAGTGGCCGCTGAAAACTCCATAATGCCCCTTTAATTATACAGTAACACCATATGTTATTGCGACTTGGCCACTGACAGACAACATGGAAAATGAAAGCCAAGAGTGTGAAACACTGTCACTGTTTCTGCACCACAGTCCATTATAAACCACATAAGAGATGAAGTTTATACAAACATAGACACAGGAAACACATTAATTCTCTCTGTGATTATGGACCCTCACCAGAACTGCCCGTCTGCAGTAATCTCTGTCCCGCGGCCAAATTATGGTGCTTTGATAGATTTCATTTATTTAAAAAATAAAAATAAATAAATACTTGGATAGCAGTGCTAAAATAGATCTGTCATGACAGCAACAGTTATTCACATAATCACTTCCTCTTTGTGGTTTTGCCTGCAAACTAAAAGCACCAGAAGCTTGTTTGCTGTAATGCTTTATTTGGAGTTGAATTTAGAGCTTTTACATTGTCTGTAGTCTGGAGCCTGCTTGACACACCTCTGAAATAGCTGTCAGAAAACGTGATTTCCCTGAATGTCCAAAGGTTGATGGATGCGGATCAAACACCAAAACATAAACACTGCAGCACATGCCGTGATCTGAGCATGAGAAACAATTGCTGCAGAATCCATTTGTTGAAGACAGAAAAAAAAATTGTCCCAAGGTGGGATCAAACACACAACCTTCCTGCACTTCCAAATAAGCTAACTGAACACTGTAACAACAACTATGATGTTTTATATTCTCACCCACCATCTAATGGTTGAAAAAATTGCTCTGATACAAAACTTATTACTTCTTCTTCAGGCGTACGTATTCAACGTAGTGCTGAGCATCTACACTGCCTGAATTCTACCAGAAGTAGAACAAGAAGAACGTTGTGACAAAACGTGCTCTGTACCGCTGTTTGTCCGTTTTGAGCTACTGTAGAAACATGGCGGCGCAACATGGCGACATCCAGGGAAGGGGGACCCACAGTTATGTAGATAGAAATGTCTCATTCTAAGGTAATAAAAGCATAACGGTTCATTATATAAGGTCTTTACACACCACTGAAAACACAGTTATGGATCTTATCTTGCATTTCTGTGTATAGATCTTCAGAAATATTACACACGGGACCTTTAATCTAAAGCAGGATGTTGCTGCTGTTCTGAACTAGTATCAGACTGCAGCTGATGATTCTTTTCATTTTGGATCAATTTGCTGATTATTTCCTCCATGATTCAATTGAATGTTTGGTTTGTAAAGATTCTGCCGTCGCAGTTACCCAGAGCCCAAAGTGACACCTTTACAACCGTTTTTGTCTCTGACCAACAGTCCAAAGCTCAACATTATTAACATGTAAATTATAATGTACAATGTTTCCTTGGGAGATGTCGTGAAGTAGAAGTAGAAAGTGGCATGAAATACTCAGTATAGTACCACCCCTGTGTATTACACAGAATATCACATACCAACATGTGCAGCTGTGTGTGACATATCTGACCTGAAACCCTGCAGGGCTCATCATGATCGGCGTGATCATTGCGTCCAGGAAAGTTGGCATCAACCCTGACAATGTGGCCACGCCCATCGCTGCTAGCCTGGGGGACCTGATCACTCTGTCCCTGCTGGCAGGCGTCTCAACAGGACTGTACAAGGAACTAGGTAACACTCAGAGTAAATGTGATACTTATTAGTGCTCACACAGGTGTCAGATGTCCCAGTGTAGATGCTGTCTGCGGCCTTCAGAGCATTCATCTTTTTTAAGGAGGAGTGAAGACTGCTGTGTTTTATGGTATTAACCTATTTGTTCTGTGCAAACACTGCAGGCTTTACTAAGCTCAGTGCATGGAAGAGATGGGATGTAAAAATATAATTTCATAAAGATGATGAGTGCAAGTATTGCTGCTCTTCCAGATTTGTTGAGATGCAGAAAATAATGGAATGACTCTGAGATCTCAGTTGCTACATGTGTGATACAACTTCAAACGCCTCTGTTATCACAGCGGGGAGCAGCATGTGTGGAAATGTGTGGAACGTGACTGCGTCTGGCTGCATGCAGTAAATAAGAAGAAAAGCCACTCACACCTAACCTCGCTGTGTTTTAGGGCGAGAAAGTCCCAGCTGTTTGGCTCTATTGTTAGCTCTGTGAGCGTGTTTTCACCACCGACAAACCCCAGCTTCACTAAACTGCCCACTGCTCCATGTTTTCCACACCACAGACAGACAGTGTGGAGTATTCCCACAGCTGCTACAGTCAGGTATAGAGATTGGGCTTATTTGGGTTATTTTGGCTCCAGCACACAAAAACACAGCTGCTGTCTGGGTCTTGTGTAGGGAAATGGTGTGATTGTGGTCTCCTTAGTGTCAGTTTAGTAGTAACACTGCCTCCTAGAGACGAGGCTCAGGACTCAGTTTTGTTAGACTTATGACTAAATAAGTTTCTCCTGGTGCTTAATATTTGACCTGAAAATGGAATCTATGTCATCTGAATGAATGAACTTGCTTTATAAACAAACATTACTAAGCTGTTTCTAGAAACTTGTCCAACTGGTAGAACAATATTACAGGTACTGTAGCAGGAATCATGGGAAATGTAGTGCCAATACTAACCTCAGCGGTCAACCAGCATCCCGTTTCACTTGCACCACAGCTCATGTATGAATTCTTACTCCGGTGATCCTTATGTTACAAACATACTACACGCTTACACATGTCACACAGCAAAGAAAGGTGGTGGAGACATGACAGACCCATCAGAATATTGTGGTTGCCAAGTTTAGACATGGGTAACAAGGATTTGACACGAAAGCTGAGCCGGTTCATTTACAGTTTACAAAGTGAGTAACCTACAAGAGTGATGAAGCAGGAAATCCAGGAAATCAACTAATCCATAGAACAAGAAGAACAGAACATCCAAAAGATGAAATTCTATAGTATAGTATAGTTCAATAGAAAATAGTCCAAGACATGATGGAATAATCCAAGGAGACAGACAGGGACAGCTGACAACACATGCAGTGTCCCACACCAACTACAGCAAACAGAACAGAACAGAAAGTTAAACACACAAAAGGAGAGGCCCAGGTGAAAACAATTGAATCAGCACTGACAGGAAGTAAAATAAAACAACGACACCAGAGGGAGAACAACTCCAAAATAAAACAGACCAGCGGGGTATAAACGCAGAGACCGGGAGAGAAGAGAACAGGAACGAGAGGGAAAGAAAATCATCCACAAAGACAAGAACACAGAGACAGGACGTAAGTAAACATAGACACGTGAGGGAGGATGAATCACACACAACCAAAACCACAACACAGACATCACACACAGTAGGATCTGACCTAAAGAAATATTTCTTATTAGTTTTCTGCATACTAAAAGCGCTGCATCCACAGGTGCTCGGTGTGTGAGTCCACCTTTTCTCTTCTTCCCACACAGAGTTCAACGACTATGCCAGTCCGCTGGTGTGTGTGGTGTTTGTGGCATTGTGCCCCCTTTGGGTGCTGATAGCCAGGAAGATCCCGTCCACCAGAGAGCTCCTTTACTCCGGCTGGGAGCCCGTCATCATCGCCATGGCCATCAGCAGGTGTTTAGACTTTTCATTGTCTACTCACACAGCTTTTTTCAACTTCTTTACTTTTTCAGTTTTGTAAAAAATAATGAGGGCCTGAGCATGAAACATGCGAGGACCGTATTGAAACTGAAGGAATTATTATTTTTCTCTCAAATGAATTGTATTTTTGGCGGCCTAAAGGTACTCAAAGACGGTGCACAAAATTCAAGGGGTGGCGAAAAGGAACTTGTCCTGTTCCTGTCAGTGTTTTACATGTTTCTGAATTAATATTCAGCTGCAATAAGGGTGGCTGTGGCTCAGGGGGCAGAGCGGCCTACGCGTTAATCGGAAGGTTGGCGGTTCATTCCCCAGCTCCTCCAGGCTGCGTGTCAAAGTATCCTTGGGCAAGATACTGGTGGCTGTTCTGCCATTGAATGAATGTGTGTGAATGTTAGTTTCTGTTTGAGCACTTAGGCTCTGTGAATGATGAATGCACATGTAGTGTAAAAGTGCTTTGAGTGGTTGAAAAGACTAGAAAGGTGCTATACAAGTACGGAGCATTTACAATAATTTGCATGTTGCGTTTTACTGCTGCAGATGTTTTAACTCCTTTATGTCCTGTTGGGTAGTTTAAGATCATCGTGTGTTTGTAACGTTGCTGTCCTGTGAGAACCATGTATTTCTAAACGGACAATTTCTCATGTGATGTAGGAGAACAAAGCTACATAAAATTTAAATACACAAGTAAAGTACAAGTACCTTGATTTTGTACTTAAGTACAGTACTTAAGTAAATGCTCCAGATTGTTCTGGAACTTCATGTATTTCTGCGTAACGATGACAGGTGATGCAGTGAATCCCTCTCGTCTCTCTTTTAGTGTTGGTGGTTTGATACTCGACAAGACTGTCACCAACCCGAACTTTGCTGGAATGGCGGTCTTCACCCCGGTCATCAACGGTGAGGGTCATAAAGCTGAGGGATGAAAGATTAGTGATTACTTTGGGAAAGTGTGTGGAAGAAACAAAAAAGATAAGAGGAGTGTAGATAACAGCTGAAGTTATCTCATCACATCCACACTGAGCTTATTTTGCTCTGTCTCCATGTTGTCACGCTGTGTGTGTGTGTGTGTGTGTCAGGTGTGGGAGGTAACCTGGTTGCGGTCCAGGCCAGTCGAATCTCCACCTATCTGCACATGAATGGTCTACCCATGGGGGATCCTAACCCCACCCCCAGGAAGTGCCCCACACCCTGCACCTCCTTCTTTGGCTCCTGTAAGTTGACATGGAACGTTCAGCTGCTGATTATTTGTCGTGAAAGAGCAACATACAGAAGTTACACCTCAACACGTTCGTTATTGAAGTAAATGTCCTCTTTCTCTTCCAGCTGTAAACTCTCGTTCGGCCCGTGTGCTCTTCCTCTTGGTCGCCCCGGGTCACCTCGTCTTCCTCTACACCATCAACTCTCTGAGGGGGGGCCACACCACCCTGACAACCATCTTCGTTACCTTCTACCTGGCTGCTGCTCTACTACAGGTACACACACATACACACACATTCTTTATTAAACAAAAAAAACATTTATTAGGGGTCCAAGCCCGAGTGGGGCTGGGAACCCGCGATGCCTTGCATTCGCGGGTTCCCAGTACCAGCCGAGCTGGGAACCCTATTGTAATCGTTATGTTTTTTTTTTTTTTATTCTTCCGTACATTTTCGCCATCTCTGAAACTGCGGGCTAGACGGTAAGGCTACAGACACATATATGCCCATAGGTGGTGCTGTCATTGCAGATTACAGACGTGAAAAAAAATCCCATTGATTTACATGCATTTTATATCTCCATAACCACAAGTCCAATTGGCACCAAACTTGGCACGGACAATCTCTGGACCAAGCTGATGAACGTTTGTAGAGGAAATTTTGATATGTGAGAAAATGTCCCAATTATAAGCTAAAAAATGTTTGCCAAAAACTCTAAAAACAGGATGTGATGTCATATGTCAGGTTTGCAATGTCCGATCAACCTCCCGAGGGACTGTGTGAAATTTGGTGTCAATTGGCCTCTAGGTTGCGCTATTAATCCCATATCACATTACACTCCCATAAACATACATTCATTTTAGATCTGCAAGTCGCTTTAATTTCAAACTCTGGTTGTTTATTCGCCGTCGGCCCCTGAAGCCACGGCGGGGCGCTCGGGTCTACTTGCATGGCCTCCACGGGGCTTGGACCCCACTTACAACTGCTTGCAGTTCTAGTTATTATTATTATTATTATTTAGCAGTAGCAAATACCCACCCACGCCCACTTATTGCTGCTTCTTTTCGAGTTAAGGACTAACAGTAAGGTGGAGTACTCTTTAATTCACATAATTAACATTTCAAATGCTGGTATATTGTTGCATCTAGACTGCTATTTATCTGAAATGATGTGTGTCCATATTCAGCAGGCACTGGTTGTGTGTACACATCAACAATAACACAGATTTTGTGATATGAGCTACTTTACTTAAAAATGTCACTTCCAGCAAGTAGTTTTGTCAGTTTTGTTATCAGTCAACCAACCACAGGAGAAATCAGTCTCTCTAGGATCTGTTTTGTTTTTCTGGCTTTTCCAAAGTATTGAGGTCAAATTTGGAACCGTCATTTTACGGACACATGTTGGATTCAGCAGGTAAAACAAAATGTCATTATCTCATACTAGGGCTGGGTGATAATGCCAAAAATATTATCACGCTAAAAAAATCTCATACCATTCGATATCAATAATTGTCACGATAGATGTCAAATCATTATTTCTTTGAAGTTTAATGGCTCCTGAGTGAAAATTGAAGAAACCAGATGGTTAAATGTGTGGTGAAACTTCTCTTTATGGTCAGAACGTGACAAACACTTGATACAGTGGATCACTTCACAAATCTTAGGTACAACATTCAAAACAATTATGATAAAAAAGATGATTTTGATGTACTACTGATGTTCTGTGCTTTCACTCTTCCTGCCACCAACAACGACATGCACGGTACTACTAAGTTTGCTTCTGCTTCGTCTTCCTCCAGGTGATAATCCTTCTCTACCTGGCAGACTGGATGGTGCACTGGATGTGGGGCCGAGGCATGGACCCCGACAACTTCTCAATCCCTTACCTGACTGCTCTGGGTGACCTGCTGGGGACCGGCTTCCTCGCCCTCTGCTTCCACATGCGCTGGTTCATTGGGGACCGAGACTCTAACGTGGGCAACTGAATGCATGCACAGACAGAGACACATGCACAGAAAACAGAAAACACTTCACATACTGTACGCTTGCACACATGGACAGTGATGAACGTCACCCATATGCCTGCACTTATCTGAAACTGGACATGTCTACATTAAAAGGGCTAATCTCCTTTAGGGCTCTGATCGACGGTATAGTGTAGCGTTGATGTGTCATCTTCAGTATATCAGGACGCAGAGGCACCGCAGCAGCCCACAATCTGGACAGTATCATGTGTTTCACATTAGAAACATGGACACATATCTCCACCTCATCCACCGAACAAAAGTCCACTTGACGGATCTAGCCCCACAGACTCAGCTCCTCCTCCTTTATTTTACTTAATAACGGAGTCCTACTACTTTTGATATTGTTATACTATGGACAATGATTATTGATGTTGGTAAATAATGCATTTGATATGAAACGATATCTAATCTATGTGCAAAGTCAGTCCTCATTATTTTCAATGGGGACGTTACTTCCCATTTTTAAAGATCAAGTTTTAACACTTGATGACAAAAGACAGCAAAAAATATATCCAAACAATCTGAGAATGCTTAATCACCAAGTGCTACGTCTTTTATACAGACTGAAATCACATAAAACGCAAATTCATGTCATTTCTGATTCAGCAGAGCATTGAGGGCTAGCTGTCACCTCTGTTTCACTTTGGACAGGCGACTGGAACACAAACATACAAACTAAGTCCCTTTTTGGCTTCGCTGCGATCAGAAGGCTTCACTGGAGTCAGAACAGGAACCTGATTACTGCGCTTACTTCATTCCCCTCAGTTCTGGGCTTGAGAATTAGGAATTTCAGAACTGAAGTCAGATCACAATACAACAAACACTTACATCAGGCGCTCGAAGAACGGATTTACCTCTGATTTTGTTAGTGGCAGAGAATCACCTAATTAACACCTATTTAAATGTTTCTGTAAACAAGGATTGTGTGTTGATTCATTTTATTCCTCAGACTTCCACAAAGGTTCCACTGCTTCCTTTTTTGGCCAGATCTTCTAAAAGCTGCCATAGTGAAATGTCCTTAGTAAGATTTTTTCTTTGTTTGAGCAAACACACAGAGCCAGTGGGAAACCGTATGTGTAAAATACAACTAGTTAGGAACGTGTCGGACACACAAAAACACACTCGTGGTTTGTTGCAGCACACCATGCATGGGCTGTACCAGGTGAGAATAGCATCAGTCCCCCTTTCTGAAAACATCTGCCATCTCACTATTGGAGCAGGCTACTTGTTGTTTTTGTGTTGCCCAAGCCAGGCTTACAGTAAGTGAAAAGAAGGTCAACATGCTGGCAGCATGCGAGCTCAGCCAGCATGGGACAAAGTGTGAAATTGTGTTATGTTGCCTTAGCCAGGATGAGCTCACCCAGTTTTAGCTGTAGTCTGACACCAGATCAAAGGTACTGACTGCTAGTATTTACTGTGGATATTATCTATCTTTAGATATCTCTATATCTTTTATTTTGACAATTTAAATTCCCACAAGTCATTAGTTAGATGTTGAATACTTCCAGTGAAAGACCAATGAATTTGTTTGAGGTTGGTTAACAGAAAGTGATGTAAAAGGTTCTAGTATTTTAGTTAGTAGTTAAAGCTGTCTGTCACTTCACTTCAGTGGAATCACTGCGGTCAGTGAAAATGTTTCGTGTTGAGACTCTTTGACAGTGCTGACCATGGAGGACCAGAGGAGAGTGGAGGTAGCTATCATAGCTTATCAGCTGTGTTGCTGCATCCACTTTTTGTTCCTGTGGACGTTTTTTTGGTAGATGAATATCCCTCGTCTGTCACAGTGTAAACAGCTCCACACACGAGGAGTGGTTTGTAGTTGATGGTAGAAATATATGTTTTTAAATGAACTGTGTGAACTTATTCTCCTGTTAGGAGAATGTAAGTTCTGAAAGCTAACGTGTCAGTTAGCAAGCCTATTAGGGAACCGGAGGCTGCTAACATATTATCTGTGTCACATCATCCAGTTCTATACACCTCTGCATATGAGATGCGTGTGTTTCCTTAGATTTAACTTCTTAGTGAGCACAAGCAGTCGCCAGCTTCCACCACCTCTTTCTCCAGGACACACACATTCACTTTGTTGTGCTGGTTCCTGGTGTGATTCTTCAGAATCTGTGGCGTGGGATAGAATAAAATTCTAGAAACGTGTTGGGTTTTTTTGTTGTCACACACAAATATTAATTATACCAACTATGAGTAATCACTCACTTTACTCAGTGAAGGACTGTACGGTGTTTAATCAGTGGGCAAAATGTTCGTCTCACAGAGTGTTTGTGGACTTACAGGTGAGGAGGAAGAGAATGAAAAAGGCAGTTTTGAGCCATTTTGACAGACCGTAACAAGTACAGATGTTAGCCCAGAGGCAAAGCCCAGAGTCTTAGGGGGATCCTGCATGTGATGCTTGACCTGTTAGTGTGTGACTTCTGTGCTGTTTGGAAGGGGCCAGCAGAATGCATGTGCAGGGCACATATAGTGAATGTGCAAAACTTATTATATTATTATTTTATCAGTTCAAATCTTTTGTTTTGGTCTGACTGATTTTTTAAAAACCTGTCTCTTATCTTATTTTTTTCTATTCCTTTTCTCCTTTCCCTATTTTTTTTAAACTCTTCATGATTTTTGTTATGTGTCATGAATTTCATCAAACAAACAACCACTGTAAAGATGAAGCAGTTTGTTGGTAAAATGCACACAGTACTGTAATCTGTAAACCGGACAGCAGAGGGCACTGCAGGAATTCTCTTCACTCTACAATGCTCAGTGCATCTCTGTGTCCTCCGGATTCAAACCCACACATGTCCACCCAGAGTGACATTTGTTTTGTCTCCTTTTGTCTCTACGGTGTATGAATTGTTGTACAGTTGCATCTTTCCGTCTGTTCACTCAGTCTGTACCCTCCACCCTCTCACTGAGCAGGTGCCAGCGTTCTGCCTCTATGTCAATGGAAAGTTGTGAATACTTCTGTAAGGGGGCACGTAATGCTTTGTCTATTTATTTTTAGAAGCACACAAAGCAAATTGTACATACTATATTTATTCTATATATAAGGTTGTTTATTTTGTCATTTCATTTTGGCTCTGTTTCTTTGACACCATGTGGTTCTCATTTGTCTCTTCTTTTTTTTCTTTGCAAAAGGCCAGTAGAGCTTTTTGATGCTTACCGCAATAGAATGGCGACGAGGCTAATGAATAGCACAGTGCCTAATACCAGTCTTTACACACCTCACACATATGTACACACAGTCTGTCTCACACAAGGAAGCATATTATAAGATATAGATTGGCCTTAACCTATCCGAGCCAAGCTCAACTCAGAGTAACCAATCAGGAGCTCGGTTCGCCACAGAGTAGAGTCTCTTTAATTAGCTTTGATTAATAAAAGATCTACAGTAATTTGATTATGATGTGAAATGTATTAATGACTTTATATGAGGCAGCAGGGGAGAGGAGGGCTGGTAGCCTCTAACGGTGGATCTGTAAAAATCAGGACTTGGAGGCTGAAAACCTTGACTGGTTGGACAGGGCGTCTGAAAGGTCTGGAGTTGAGTTGAGCACCAACAGAAGTAAGATTTTAACCCACAAACACCTGAAAAGACAAAGTGCACCATGAAAAAATGCACTGATGATTCCAGATGTTAAGAATCCCCAGCCTTTAAAACCATTCACCCACCCACTGCCTTGCTAACCTCAGTGCTACAAACCCCTGAGCCCCTGAACTCCCAGGGAACCACACTGACCCTCTGGCATGGCACGGCCGAGCCTTCCATCAGACTTCCACCGGTCTAAGTCAGCTGTGCTACCTCTGACAGACTGGACCTGATGGGTCCAGTCTTGCTGGGGCCGAGGTATTTACGGTCTCTGTGTTCTTCCTGTAAAAGCCCTCCCTCTGTGAGGTGGGAGGAAGGCTTTCTCCCTGCAGGACTTTTGCTGGAAATAAAGGACTATGTTATTTCATACCATTCCTCTGTCTCAGTGTCTGTTTTTGTCAGCTTTTGCTGTAGAGGTGTGGCCGACCTGACAGGGTCCGTCACTCCAGTCCGCTCAGCTTTTCTCAGTACAGATGTTGCTCAGAAGAAGGGAGCAGCTAACCTCCCTCTGATGTGTAGAGGCCACGCAGGTTACACTCTTAAAAATAGACAATATCAAATTCATGACCAAGAGACTGTATACTGTTTTTTACATCAAGACGAATCAACTTGCTTCTGGAAACTGCTCTTTATTTACACTATGATGAAAGTTCATGTCCATTTTTAGGTTAGCACATTCAAGACACATCCACCTGCATATTTACACATCCTGCAGTTCTGTGTTTGGTCTCCACGAGCTCTTGAGGGAAATATCTGGCTCTTCAGCTGCTAAATGCTCCACAGCATGAGGATCTGCCAGAAATAGGACTCCAGATGTATGACAGTGTTGTTCTGTAACTGCTAATGTTACAAGTTCAACATATCAACTTAAAGAGTGATGATACAGCGTGTCAGTGCTGTTACTGCAAGGGCTGTGTGACGGACTTATCAAACGCCAACACCTAAAGTGGTGGTAATGATTTTGTTTTCTACAAATAACGACAAAGACATTTTCTTTAGATATGTTTATTCTTTTCACAAATGATGCTAAAATTTCCTATCTGAGTGCATGCATTTTGGTTAATATTAGTATTCATTTGAGTAGAATTGTTTGGCAATTTATACCTGTCTTTTGTTTCTTCACACGCTGCTGCTGCTGCTGAGTCATGTGCCAAAGGGAAGCTGGAGTTTGAAACTGCCTTTTATATTCCACCACAGGAAGTGGAAGGAGGCAGTGGGCAGAGGGACTCTGAACTGCAAAATCCTTAACAACACAGCAAGCATGTGGATATTTTGTTTGTTAGATTAATATTGGGTTTCAATAGTGTTGTTTTGTTAGTATTTTCTTATGGTTGGTTGTTGGGTTTATTTTGGGTCTTTTTAATTGTGGTAAGTTTTCTCCCCTTTGTGTTTGGTGTAGGCTAGCCTGTGTGTATATACCCCTCCTTTTGTGTCATTCAGTAGGTCAGGTTTGTTATGTTCAGACTCATGTTGTAGTATTGTTATGCTGACCTCAGTTTAGTTAAGACCCACTTTTGAGTAATTCTGTTGACATGTAGCAGTCCTACAACATCTGTTTCTCTGTCCAATGGCACTTCCCTCTCCTCGTTTACTCCTCTCACGGAGAGCGAAGTATCAGAACTCCTGACCCGTAGCCGTCCTACTACATGCCCACTGGACCCGATTCCTACAAATCTCGTCCAAGCCATATCTCCTAACGGGGTCCCTGCAATCACTCATGTGATAAATACTTCTCTGGCATCGGGAACCTTCCCGACCACTTTCAAAAGGGCTCAGGTTAAACCTTTTCTCAAAAAGCCTTCCCTCGACCCTACTTAAGTTGAGAACTATCGGCCAGTTTCACTTCTACCATTTTTATCCAAAGCTATCGAACGGGCAGTCTTCAACAGGTCTCAGAATTCCTCTCACGGAATGACCTCCTAGATCCATATCAGTCTGGTTTTAAGAGTGCCCACTCTACTGAAACGGCTCTTTTGTCTGTAACAGAAGCTCTAAGGTCAGCTAAAGCTGCAGCCCAATCCTCGGTCCTTATCCTGCTTGACCTATCAGCTGCCTTTGACACAGCCTGCTATCCGCACTCGCAGCAATGAGCATCTCGGGCAAAGCACTCCTGTGGTTGGAATCCTGCCTTTCAAGGACAATTATCTTATTCCCACTGCAAGGCTTGCCACCTTCAACTAAACCTCTCTAAGAGTGAACTCTGGGTCATTCCAGCAACGCAATCTATCCACTACACCATCAAACTACAAACTGACTCCTCAACCCTCACTCCAACCAGGGTGATGAGAAACTTGGGTGTCATGATTGATGACCAGCTGTCCTTTTCAGACCATGTTGCTGCTGTCTCTCTGTCGTGCCGTTTTGCTCTATACAACATAAGGAAAATCAGGCCCTACCTCACTCAGTACGCCACCCAGCTTCTGGTACAGGCCATGGTTATCTCTCGCCTTGTCCACTGCAATGCCATTCTAGTAGGTCTTACAGCTTGTGCTGGGAAACCCCTACAAATGGTTCAGAAAGCCCAAAAGGACTCATGTCACTCCATTAATGAGTGACCTCCACTGGCTACCCATGGCCTCCCAATTCAAGTCACTAATGCTTGCATACAGAGCTACTACTGGGTATGCACCCATCTACCTAAACTCCATAATACAAGTCAACGTTCCTTCCTCCAACGAACGCCGCCTGGCTCTGCCATCCCTTCACACAAAGCAATCCCAGTGTCTGTGACACCACGATGGTGGAACGAGCTACCACACGCCATCAGAGCAGGGGCGTCCCTCTCTAACTTCAAGAAGCTCTTGAAAACTCATCTCTTCTGAGAACACCTCTAACTCCTAACCTCTAACATGCACCTCCTGTGCTCTTCTTCTTCTATCCCCTACAATGATCTTGTATTGATTGCACTTTTTGTTAACTCTTACTTCTTTCCGTAGGTATTTACACCATTGATGCGATATGTGCTATTAGCTCATTCTAGTATTTATTAGTGCTCTTACAAATATGTATTGTCAGTTGTAGAGCTCGTGCTGTATTTGATGCTCTGTTGATGCTTGTATGTTGTTCCTCAAATGTAAGTCGCTTTGGATAAAAGGTTAAGCCAAATGAGTAAATGTAAATGTATAATGTAAATGATATAATAAATAATGTTGAATACAAGATTATGTTTGATCATGAGCTCTGGAACAAAGGCTGTGGGTACAATTAAATAGAATAGAATTAAATAGATACAAAACAGAGAACACAGAGTTTGAATCAAGTAAATAAAATTACATCTGGGAAACACAACTCAGAAACGTACATGGGTGCAAAAGGGCTAAAGGCTAAGTACCAAACAGGAGCAGCTTATTTAGCAGGAGATTAGCAGAGGGCTGCTTTGACACCCTACAGGTGGAACCAGGAGTTTCTCTCTGCTATCTCCTGGACAGTAAAACAATAAATGAAAACATAAGACACTAAATACAAAGCTCACACGACGCATAAAATACAAATAAAAACAATAACAACCATACAATAAAATCAATACAACCAAAACAAGAAATGTCAATTTCAGTTATCAAAGGCCAAGGAA